AGAGTGATATTGACCTGCTCTAAGCATTTCAGGGCAATAATCATGCCTATGGAAGAAGAAATCCATAAGCAAATCAAGAGCATGATGAGGGACACTAGCAAATGGAATCAATGCATGACTCCATCTCTAAATCACAAACAAGAAATGACAAGAGAAGGGGGGATGATTCAATATGATAGTCAAATCTACATCCCTAGAGATAAGAACCTGCACAGTGAAATCATCACCACCTACCATGATCATGCAATAGCAGGACACTCTGGAATATCCAAGATGAAGGAACTAATTCTGCAGGAATATTAGTAGCCTAAGATGGGCAATGATATTATTCAATATGTCAAAGCATGTGAGATCTGTCAATGCAGCAAGTCCTCCACTCAACCAAAAGCAGCACCACTGTATTCAAATGAGGTACCCACAACCTCATGAACCCATATCTCTGTAGACATAGTAACCAGACTACCAGATTCCAACAGCTATAATGCCATCATTGTCATAGTAGATCGCTTCTCTAAAGTGATCATTCCAATCACCTGCTTCACCAAATTGATCTCTGAAGGATGGGCAAAGATCTTATGTGATGAAGTCTATGCCAAGTATGGAGTGCCACAAATAGTGATCTCCAACTGGAGACCACAATTTGTTTCCAAATTTCTAGATGATTTATATTGTCTTCTCAACATCAAACAAAATGCCTCTACAGCTACCACCCTCAAACAGATGGACAGACAGAGCATGTCAACTAGGAGATAGAAAAATACCTTCACCTATTCATCAACTACCACTAGAATGATTGGACAGAATAGCTCACACTGGCAGCATTCTAACACAACAACCATATTCACTCTACTATGAGAAAAACACTGTTCTTTATAAACTATGGATGATATCCACATGTTGTCCAGACAGAATGAACACACACTACAATGCCAGCATCTGCAGACTTTGCCACCATGATGAGAAAAATCCATGCCAAAACAAAGACAGTGCTGAAAAAAACCATGATCTCTATGAAAACACAATATGACAAACATTGACAACTGGTCCATTCCTATTCAGTCAATGATAAGGTGTGGCTAGATACCACTAACCTCTATCTGCCACATCCAAAACACAAACTATCTGACAAGCATATCAGTCTCTTCCCAATTCTTGCAAAGATCAGCACTTCCATATACAAACTCAGAATCCTCCCCAATTGAAAGTTTCACAATGTCTTTAATGAGACATTGTTGACATCATATATCATGCCTGCTTTTTCTAATCAAGAACAACCACCACCACTGCCCTCTGACCTGATTGATGATGAGGAACATTATAAAATCAATCAAGTACTAGATCACAAATTATGAAAAGTCAGAGCTAAAGGCAGCAGCACAATGACAACCATCAATTACCTCATCAGTTGGAAGGGTTATAGGCCTGAATCCAATCAGTGAGTTAATAAAAAATGGATGGATGCTGTGAATGCCATACATGATTATGAATTATCTCTAAATTAAGTCATTGGGATGATGGTCTTAAAGAGAGGGTAATGTTATGATTTTTTCTATTTCTTCATTCTTTTCACAGATTAACCCTTATTTATGCTTAGTCAGAGTGCTAAAATAAGCACTTAAAACTGTGAGACAAGGCTTAGTCAGCACAACAGCTAAGTCTGTCATTGTCTTTTGATGCAACAGCATTGCCTGATGATGCACAATCATTCTTTTGTGTACAATAACAATGCTCAAGGACAACAGACACAATGGACTCAGAAAGACACAATAAGTAGTTATATTATTAGTGGACATTGTACAGTATTTAAGAACACTCACTCTTACTGGTAATCTTCAGCTTCAAGCTAAAGTTTATTCTTACATCATTCTATACTCAAGCTGATTGTAAGACCTTGTGACACATTGATCAGAATATGCATCAAGTGAACTCAGTTGATCACCTGAAGTGTGAGGTGACTTCTGTTTATCATGTATATCTGTTCATGTGACGCTTGAGTCTAACAGAGGCTGAAATGTCTTCTATGGAAAATATATTGTGATGGATATGCTGAGTTTGTTCAGGATCAGCTTCTGTGAGTTGAGTAAATATGGTGGATATGATAAAAATTTTTGACTCAAGAGTTTGAGTTCAAATATGCTGTTAGAAATGTGCCAATCAACTGGACTTCTATGCACATGCAGAGATTGACAGAGTGCATAGGCATTAATGAAGCTATTGGCAATATCACTCTTGAGTTGGGGTCTAAGGATTTGAATAGATATAATGGAGTTCCATCAGAGAAGCAAAGAGGAATATCCTTCAGAGCAGAATCTGATGGATGAGGTAGAGAGGAGTTGAAGTGAGCATAAAGTGTAGATGGCTATCTAAGTTGATATTTAAACTGAGTAGTTATAATGATTATACAGTTTTATATACTAATAGTAGCTAATTCTGAGTCAGGATCCATTGGATTCTAATGTCAATTATTTGCTATCAAGTTCAGGGTCTAGATATTATAATGTGAAATACAGATATGAAATGATAATGGTAAAAATGAAATTAATAGGTAATAGAGAGCAAGCAGAGTCCAGTGGGTTTTAGTGATTGAAGTCATGGTTGGTTGAGATAACACAGAGGCCAGTGGCATGCATGTAACATGTTGGTGGCTTGAGCAGACCTGAAGGGGAGGTCATGGAGGGAGAGGACAGATGTGACATTTCAGATTCAGCAGTAGACTGTTTAGAGGCTGTGGTAATACCTGATTACTCAGATGGTGACAGACTGGTTTCCTCAGCAAAGATATACAAAAACAAAAAAGTCTGAGCAGAGTGCCAATGATTGTGCTCAAGAGCTTTACAAAGTCAGAGACGATATTACAGATCAATAGCATTCAGTTTCCTTCACCACTAGAGTGCATAAGAAAAGAGAAGCAAAAAGCTTTGAGCCAACTGTTAAACCTGACTGGCATATGGCCTGAACACATGATAAACTAGCACTGTATCACATTTGTACAGTCATGCTAGAGTCCACTTAATGTGTTTTTGATAGGCAAAATGTATTAAGGCCAGAGACAGACTAAGCTTGAGAGAAAATAGTATGAGATAAACTTATAGCTTGAAGCTGGACTACTACAGCAAGAGCTATCCTACTTATATACTGTTCTGCCTGTAATAAATATAACTGCTACTTATTGTGCAAGTCTATGCTATAGTACCAATGCTGTCTGGTTGTTGGAGGAAAGACAATAAAGAATTGTCTGTGGATGAGGCAACTGAGGACAATAACACCCTGTCTGTTGTGATTATCTAATCTTTCCACACTTTTCAAGGAAGCACTCAAGATAAGATAGGTGCTCTGATAAGATAAGAAAAGAAAAAGATATTAAAAAAATCATAACATACCATTGCTATTGTGAGTTTTTTATATGCTGCAGTTTCTATTGTATTCAAGACATGAGATAGTGACAGTTACTATATTGTTCCTTGTCATTTTATTATGCATCAATGAATAAGGTGTAGCCATAGTGTTGTCATGTCTTCAACATCTTTTGTAAGGTCAGTCTGGGGTTAGGATTGGTAAGCATCTGCTTACTAAGCATTAGCAGATCATGATTTAAAGGCAAAAATCATGACACTCTTGTTTACAATGCATACTGAGAGCATTCCATGCTGCCTTCAACAACTTATATTTAGACAAAAACTCCTTCTCTGCTTTAACAGCTTTCAGATTTATGAATGCACAAATGGCATAATCATTGGTTTGCCAATTCATGTGCATGCATAGCTCAAGTGACTTGTCAGAGCAAGAGAGACAATCAAGCAGGTGCCTGTCAATGCCTCCAGACATTACTAAGCAATTGAGTATATCATCACTCCATTCTTTCCAATTATTAATTTTCTTGTTGAGGTTTATAGCTATAAATAGTGAGCTTTAAATGGTGACAACTGATATAGAGAGTTTTGTAGCATCAGTGGGCAATGAAGAAATGAGAGACAGAGCAGTCATAGCACTGGGAATTGTGGTTTTGGTAGAGTTCATCATAGTGGCTCAGTGGCAGTGGCTCAGTGGCTTGCATACTGGTAGTCAAAAATGTAAAGAGAAGTTCATATTTTCATGTCAAATTAAGTCATAATCAGATTCAGATAGTAACTTCTTGGCTTATAGCTTTAAAAAAAACACCTATAATCTGTTAGAATCTGGATCTGTAAGAAGAGTAACTCAATCTCAACATGATAGTGCATAAATAGACTATATTATATTGTATCTGTAAGAAAAATAACTACAACATTATAAGTAAAGTAAATCAAAAGAGATAGTAAATGCCTCATCTCAGTCTTAACATGATAGTGTACAAATAGACTGAAGAAAGAAGTAGAACAAGGAGCTACACTATTTAAATAGTGGTGGAACAAAGAAAGACCCTTGGTGTTTACTGAGAACACAATAAGATGCCAACAGATAGATTATTAGCAAAGAATCTCTTTGTCTCATTTATTGTTTCACTGAAGATATGATGGCCAACACCCTCACTAAGTCTTTGCCTTTAGCCAAGGTGAAGTATTTTGCTGCTGAACTCAGACTTTGCTCTACTTGAGAGTGTGTGTTGGATTAACAAGTAGAAGCTCCATCATATTCTGCCAGCTGAGCTCAATACCTTTTTATATTAGAATGGACTATATATACTGAATGCAAACTGTCTAGCACTCTCACTGTGTTTCCACTTATTCCTATGCTGTGTGAGGGTAAGTATCTACCTATATTACATTGTTTATCTTACTGATTGATACCTATAGTCTACAAAATAGCTGACTGCATATGCTATTAGATACTGTGAATTATACACTGTGTTTCCACTTCTTGCTATACTGTGTGAGGTCTATAAAATAGCTAACTGCATATACTATTAGGTTCTAAGAACAAATACATGTCACTTTCTTACACATAAGCCCATCTGATGCAACTGGAATTTGATTCACTACTTGCTCCATTGAATATTAGGATACAAAAATGACAATCATGTGTCTCTGGTAGTATATTAATTAGTACATGTGCCTGTTATAATCTTTTGAATAATTGGACTTTTGCACAAAAGTTGGGTTTGACTCTCAGCCAGAGAGTATCAGAAGTGTTATTGATTTTATTCTCTGACTTTTTGATAATGAGATTACAAACTTAGCTTAGTAGATTCTAAAGACTATCCATGTATTCCTGGCCAATTGTCTCTGGCCCACCCCAGAAGCCTGAGTAGTTGAGAGAATCTCTCAAGGTGTTAGGATGCAGAGAACTGATTAACTTAAGCTGGGCAATGTCAGGGAGATGGGCATTGGGGCATGATCTGCCATGGTATTGGAAACTGTCAGGCTAGTTTGAGCCTATGCTAAATTAAAAATGGATTCTCTCTAGTTGGGCTGTGTGATCTGTGATGAATTGATATTTTCTCCATGACCATATGGCCAATCTCATGAGATATGAGTTTAGATGTCTCAATTCATATCTGATTGATAATGGCACTTTGACTAACAGATGTAAAAAATCAAAGAGTCTAAGCTCTTTAGAGTTGTATTTAGACGTATTCAAGGACCATGTAAGAAGGAGATAATCATATTCATTCAAAAGCCAAATCACAGATGGAGTCATCCAACTCAAAAGTTGGTTTGTAATGCTATTTAGAGTAAACAAAGGATGCTTCTTTGGCTTTGAGCAGACTTGACATGTACAATATGACAAAGAGCTTCTGAGGTCCATAGCAAGGATGGTCAAATCGACTCAGAACTGCTAGTGAAATGGAGATCTGAGCATGGCAGAGATGAATATGCCAGATAGCCACCAATCTAAACCAGAGGTTTTCTTTTCACTATTCTGGCCTGTTGTTGATTTGAAGCTAGAGGCATGAAGAACACTAAATAATCACAGAGCCCAGATATTTAATGTCAGGAGCACTCAGGAATTTGCCAGGAAAGAATTTTGAATTGTGGGAAAGACGCATTATTTGCTTCTGTTTCTCGCTTGCTTCAGAGGCGTCGATTATGTAAGTGTTCAACTTTTCCTGTTCTCCAGAGCCAATGAAGAATTCTACCGCAAAGAGTCTCGGATATTAGTTTCTGCTTGATAGCACAAGGTGCAAGGTCCCATTGACAAACGACACGCATGATCATGATTTCGGACAACAGTCTCGGCCAGGGAATGGCATTATTGGAGGGCCGAGGGCGCGAAAGAGCCTTGCATATCTTTCCCAAAGTATTGAGTACATGTCAAATATCCACGGCTTTATTCTTTATTTGACGTGGGCATCGTCTACCCTCGAATTATAGATACATTTCACCTACAATTTACAACATCGACGACGATGATTGCAGTCGCCTTACTACCTCGGCGATGTTCAGAAACATCACCGATGTTCTTACTATACCGTGTACGTTGGTCCCACACCTGCTGATCAAGAAGACCACCGGTAAGGAAACTATTGTGTTTACGGACCCTTTCTCTCTGCTACCGCTGTATAGTTGTGTATTCAGTCTCAAAGCGGTGGCCTACGAGATACCGGCGTTCGGTAAATACGACATTCATGCATCCATTATGTCGACAGGTTTGATACCATGGGAAAACCCTTCTGGATCATACAAATTCAAAGCAAGTCAAACCTTAACGTTAACGTCATAATGTCACTACCAGCTCCCCAAGGCGTTTCCTCTCCAACCTTCAAGGCTCCTCCGCTCGATGGGTCACTGGCATTTCCAGAATTACTCGACTACAATGCTATTCATAGCGCTAAGCACACACTGTTTCGTTACGATGACCTTGACAATGGCGGATTTCGTACCATCTCCTGGGAAGAAGGTGTCGCCGCCGTCCACACCGCCGGACACTACTTCAAGAAATTTATCCAGGGCGAAGCTCCCATCACCATCGCTATTTTAGCTAATACCAGTAAGTCTGTCCGCTCGCCGCCCTACAGAATCAAGGTTCTGACCGTCCCCTCCAGATTCGATCACTTACTTCGCGGTAATCACTGGCTTGATGCGTCTCGGGTTCATTCCTTTCCCTATCTCAACTCGTAACTCTGCAGCCGCCGTTGCCCATTTGATCAAGTCCACGGACTCTAGGCATTTAATTGTTAGCCGGGATCCCTCTTTGCAGAAAGTGGCGGACACGGTCTGTCATCAATTCTGGGAGGCTGAAGGTGGCGATAAGATAACGACCATACCAATGCCCTGCTTTAATGATCTCTTTTCTACAAAGCCTGGGAGATACGAACCCCTTCCTTCTGTGCACCCTGATTGGTCACAAACGGCGTTCATTATGCATTCATCGGGGACAACGCGCTTTCCTAGTCCTATCTATGCCACGCACAAGCACTTGCTGCACCATGCTGTGAGACCATGTAAGTGTATTCTTATTTGGACTTTTGTTCAAACTCAACGTTGGGTAGATTATGGAGATGTGGACCTATGTGGACAAGTGTATGGATCCCAGTCAGCTGCTATGTACCGTTTGTGTCTATTTCATAGGTATCCTCGATTGCGAAAATGCTGATACTACGTTCCAGATGTAATGGGCTTTATTTCTATCACGAATTCCGTGTGTTATATCTCATTTACTGGTTTACATCATTCATGTCTATCGGCCAGACCGCAACAGGTTCTATTATGGCTTGCTTCCCGCCGGTAGAGCCACCTGTGAAACCGACAGCTGAACATGTTTTATCAAGTATAATTAATACCGGAACGACAATAGTCGCCACCATTCCTTCGTTTTTGGTGGTATGAGACCGCTCATTGAATATCAGACTGCATAGCTAATATGTGTCGTAGGAATGGGCCAGGAACCCACAGGCTGTCGAGGCTCTGAAAGCTACCACCGCAGTTGTAGGCTATCGTCTCACAGCCGAATTGCTGTCACTCATGTCTCTTTAGGCTTATGCTAGCGGTCCTCTAGAGAAGGAAGCCGGTGATACTCTCGTTGCAAATGATATCTTGTTACTCTCTGTCTATGGACTGTGAGCCTTGTTTTATATCCTGATTGACTGTAGAATGCGTATATCGTTCGTAGTACTGAATCTACAGTATCTCTGGTCTTGCCTAGTACGTGCATTGTTCCCTTCCGGCTACAGTCTGATTTATCTGCTACATAGACAGTATTCCAGTCGAAGGATGGGAGTGGATGAAAGTAAGTATCTCCCAATATCCTTGGCAATGAATTGTAACACATTTCTAGGTGGCGAGAAATGTCGATGTCGCTTTTGTACCAACAGATGAGCAGGATGTTTACCGTCTGTACGTCAAGGTAGGTCGGTGTCGGCGGTACCTCATCAAGTAACTAACAGTGTAGCGCGGACATTAGGACGGTCCGTTACACTCGCCTGCGGTCCTGGACACCGAAATTGATGGAGTAAAAGCCTTCGACACTAAGGACTTGGTACAACTACATCCTTCGAACCGGAAATTATTCAAGGTCTATGGGCGTGCCGGTGAAACAATACTTTCAATTAGTTGCCATGCGATTCTCATACCGGTTCATAGATGAACAAATTATGCATAGCACAGGGGTGAGTCCGTGTTTATCTCTATCATTCTGATGGTATCTCATTCTATTATTTCACAGGAGAAAGTAAGGAGATTCATCATGCTTTGAGTGCCCGTGCTAAATATGTTTTGTAGACAAACCCTGTCCCCATCGGTGAGCAGGAAATGATGCACTTCGCTCTATGCTAACACAGATGAATGAAGAGGCTGGCCTAGTCCTGGATAAGCATATAGCGGCAGCTATGATGTTTGGTCGTGCCAAATTCCAGCCGGGCGTCCTCATTTTGCCCACTCCAGAGGAAACATTTGATCCGAATGATACCACGCGACTTGCGGAATACCGAACTAGCATCTGGTTAGCCCTCACATTCGCTCTTCTTGAACTGCGCTCATATTGAAACTTACAGGGATACTATCACGAAAGCCAATGAGCAGGCACCTCAGCATTCTCGGATCTACAAGGAGGTGGGGCTTTCTTCGTCACTCATCAAGCATCAAGCATCATTTGCTGATTATCTTTGAAGATGATCATCGTTGCAAACCCGGCAAAGCCTTTCGAGTTCACTGTAAAAGGATCTCTTCGACGTAAGGCGGTCTTAAAAGCGTACGAGCAAGAAATTGAGTCTTTATACAAGACTGTCGATGAAGCGTCAGAGACGGACATCGTTATTCCGCGGCTATGGACTTTGAAGAATGTCGTGACCATGGTTAGGGACATCGTCACCGCAGTCTTCCAACAGAATATTGGCGACACCGATAATATTTTCTTAGCAGGAGGTGATAGGTATGCTGCCATTCGTTTGCCTTTTCAAGATGCTAAATCTTTGAAATCTAGCCTTACCGCAACGTCCATCCGAAACTCAGTTCTTCGGGCGATTCGTAAGTCCAAAGTAGTACCAGTCGCCGTCATCAGAGCTCTACCGCATAATTTTGTCTTTGATCTTCCTTCTATCGCCGCTATGAGCGCTTTCATCCACGGAATCGTAGTTGGTGCATGCGCTGCCTTAGGAGCTGGACCGGCTACCCGAAATGACGAGGCCGATGAGGAAGGATATCCCGAAATCGATTCTGTCCCTGACTTGGGCCGAAGCCTAGTCAAGTTACGAGAACGTGGAGGCGAGCCGCCTTTGATTATGCTCCATGGTCAGTAGCTTCCCTCACGGCAAGGGTATTAGGTTTCTGATGTCATCGTAGGCGCTGGAGGATTGTATTTCGAATACGTATTTTTAGCTGAAAAGTTCAGGACGGCAGTTTGGACCATGACCGTGACGCCCGATACTCCTTTGACTTCCCTACGCGAGATGGCCGCTTTTTATTTCGCCAAGATCAAAGCGGAACGGCCCACAGGTCCCTACCGTTTGGCGTCGTACTCGGCATCGAGCGTTCTCCTCGTTGTGCTTACTAAACTGTTTGAGGGCAATGGAGATGAGGTTGTTCAGGCCGTCATACTCGATCACTTTCCGGCGATGTTCATGTACTCGGCGAACAAGTTTGGGAACCCGGACCCGAGGGTGGCAGAGAACATCAAGATGATGCTCGACGCGGGAATGTCTGCGATTGGGGACATGATGGACCGGGACGCGCATGGAAGCACCCTCCGGCGTTCGAAGAACCTTCTTCTCGAAGCCTGGAACGGTGGCCCAGCCAATGAGATCTCAAGAAAATCAGTCGGTACCATAAAGGCATACCTCACTGCCATCGCCGAGTTTGTCTACGATTTGACTACAGACGAGACTGGCGCGGCTTCGATGGAGTTGATGGCTCAGTGGATGAGGACTATAAAGGCGCCGATAACGGTGGTTGTTGCTGCGGAAGGGTCGGTGAAGAGCGTAGCTGAAGAAGATAGGGAGATGTGGGCGGACTTGGGCACAAAGCGGTTTCTTCCCGACGCGCGGGTTGTTTTTGTCAAGGGGGGTCACTATGAGTTCTTAACAGACGACAGTGTTATACGGCTGCTGCAAGAAGGTTACTGAACGCTGTAGATGTAATATTACTTTGCTCGTATTCAGCGGATATGTCCTTGTTAGACTACGATGCTAGAACCTCTTTCATTGAATCGCTTTAGACGAGGAGGCATACCGACGTACACAAATACCTAACTGAAGATGACCACGCCATGTTTCCCTCCGGTAAGGGCAATCTCGCCATCCGCACCGACGTCGACAGCTTCTTCATCAACCACAACAGAACCATTCCTGAGTAGCTTCACTTGGTCATTCGTTCCCTTCGGAGTACTGATCTCCATGAAGAACTGATTGTCCTTCAGTGCCCATTTCATCCCAAACCACCCCAGCAAGGTTTCAAAACCACCTTCGGCGCCAGGAAGTCCGCCGTTTATAAGGGGGCTCACAGACCAGGTAGCACCCCGGAGAGACAGTCCCATGACATACAAAGTCAGGGCGGAAGTAAGTCCAGAAGACTAGCTGTGTGCGTGCCAGGTATATGCAGCATCATAGTTGTATCCTCTTTAAGATCGGTACCTGCAGCTGATGTGAATTACATACAGGAACAACGGAAAAAGGACGTACCAAAGAGAGCCGTTCGCCATAAAACCCTCGAGTAGGGTACTTTGCACAGACAGGTTCGTGTATAATATGTAATCCCATTCTCGACGTAAAAGGTCCAATGCTCGGTCGTCTTTACCGGCTTTAAAATGGGCTTGAGGCTACCGACGAGAACCATCGTTAGTTTTAGAGGCGCCATTTCTAAGATAGCTCGCACTCACCTCAAAGCCGCTAATGTTAAACCGCGAGGTCGTATCTGGGAGCTCTGGAACCACGGGTCCTAAGTCATTCCAATTCTTTTCCGGACCTTTCTGTTCGTTCGAAAGAGTCAGATTATAAAGAACGGCGAACGAGTTGGCATCCTGCGGGTGAAGCGTTGTCATCAAGTTGTCTCGATACATCCCAGCACGTTCCACCCAGAAGGCCTCGTTGAACTTGACTTTGAGTGCGGTAGCGTTTTCTCCTCAAGCTGCGGAGAGAGATTCATCGCCCATATAATTCGCTAGATCCGAGGCTGTGAAAAGGACCTACTGCAGTGTAAGAGAGGGTGTCAAGAAGGGGATACCATGGAACTCGCCTTGTATAGGATGGCATTTCCTTCGGCATTGCATCCACCACCACCCAGCCGAGCCCAATCTGGGAGGCCAGTGACATCCATTAACCCGGTGCTGTCTACATTGCCTTCCAGGCAAGCAATGGCATGAGTATAATTAGTCCAGATGGTGCTAAGCCAGTCATCATCTCCAGAATAAAGATAGTAGTTGTCTATACAAACACCATCATCTCTAAAATCATGGTTGCATACATACGACTGACGAGTTCCGATGAGAGTCCAGCAGTGATAGGTGTCCGAGCCGAGCTGGCAGAGAGGAGGCCCTGAGTCCGGTAATGCGCCTGTTTCGGGATTGATAGCGGCAAACATAGCAGACAATGCATTCCTAGTGGGAATCAAATCGAACGTGGAGACGAATTGGCTAGGGACTGCGATGCCCATATCACTAGGCCATACCGCGTTGCACAAGAATATCGTATTGTGGCCCAAATGAGACACAGAGATACATACCGGTCGCGTTTTGCGCCTAGAATTAAATCTCAACCTTTGGAATAAACCCTGGGCGCTGAACCAATTACCATCGACGATTGTCGGACCCGCAACACCAAGTGTTGCATTATTGTTTGCTATGAACATGGTTAGGTGCCAACGTACTATCATGCCTGTCATAGGTTATCTCTCATGGACCTGGCATACATTCTAATCAGTTCCGGCCCATGTACACCTTCAAGCTTCAACGATATCCTTGGATGTCCTGCTCATGAACAACGTTGGGGACAAAACGGGCCGATATCCCGAAATTTCCATCCGGATATTGCCGTGCCCTTCTCCTGCGGCCCGCGGCATTTTGCTTCTCTGCCGGGGTTGCCGCGGCCTATCTTTGTATGGTTTCTATTGGTCTGTCTGGCAGGAATAGTCGCCGTAGGTCATAGAAAAATCTTCTCCCTAGTCTCTCATTTTTTTTGATTCTTGACAAGTCGTATATTATATGGCCAGAATCGCAAACTTCACAGGGTGAAAATTCCAAAACACAACTAGATGACTGCGAATTCCCATGAATAGAAGGCATATGGCTTGCACGCAGGTCGATACGAGAGAAACCAACGACGACTAAGGACACAGGTTACTAACGTGGGGATCTCTTTGCTATCTCCTGGTGTGCTGTCATTTGCCGGCAACTCGTGTGCTCCGAGTAGACCCATTTATAATTTTTGATTTCGATATCATTTTCAGTTTCCACGCCCGCTCTCTCGTTCTCATCATGATTCTCACTCCATGCATTCGTTTTTTAGCACCCATAGTGCTTCCCATTGCCCTATTTGTTGGTTTTGTCTCCCTCTTGCAGAGATGGATCCTCTTCGTCTGTTACATTTCCTCTGGGATCGTGGCCCTGGGTGCAACAATGTCGGCTCTTATTTACTGGGCTTTTCGCGTCGTGTACGCGGATCATTGTGATAAAAAGGACGCTGGATCTATGGGAGCCCGTCTCGTGCCGCGTGCACAAGGGAGATGGCCTGGTAATATCGACATACTGGCTAAATCCATGTACGTATGGGCTGAGGGATATCCTAGTAAGCTCTCCATCTGATTGGAGATGATATCGCTGATGAGAGCTCCGACAGGCGACGGTTTCGACGAGATGATAGATGCACATGGAAGCATCTTCAACCTTCGCATGCTATGGTCGGACATGGTCTTCACGACATCACCAAAGCACATCCAGCAGATTCTTGCCACAGAATTCGAGAATTTCGAGAAAGGTGCGTTTAACTGATATGAACACTCCGGGGGAAGAATGACTAAATACTCCACACAGGTCAAAGGTTCCAATATGCTATGAAATCTGTGCTAGGTGTCGGGGTATTCAATGCTGACGGTAAGCTCTTCATCTCTCATGGATTTCAAGGCTGAAACTTCCTCCACCTTTAGGTAAACTGTGGAAGTATGTCACCACATTCCGATTATGAACCGATCTGAAAATGATGTTCGCAGGTTCCATCGATCAATGACACGGCCTTTCTTTACGCGAGACAGGATCACTCATTTCGATTTGTATGACCGACATGCAGATGCAGCAATCTCTCAGATGAAGCGTAGGCTTCGCAGTGGTTATGCCGTGGAATTTCAGGCACGTTGATCCATCACATGTCGTATTTTTGAAAGGATACTCTAATTCTGCCTCAAAGGATCTAATGGGCCGGTTTACAATGGATTCTGCAACTGATTTCCTATTCGGTTCTTGCGTTAACAGCCTCTCAGCGACACTACCTTATCCGCATGGCGCTTCTCTTATCCTGGCAGAGTCTGATAACACCCGTCGTAATGAAGCCAATGTGTTCGCGGAGGCATTCCTCAAAGCACAACGCACTCTGGCAAATCGAATACGTCAAGGGGGGATATGGCCGCTCTTTGAGATCACAAACGATGAAACAGAAACTCCCATGAAGATAGTGCATGGCTTTGTGGAGCCTATCATCGATGCAGCCCTCCGAAAACAGAAAATATCCGTCTCCAAGAAGAAGGATCTTAGTGAAATTGGCGACGATGAGACGTTGCTAGACCATCTCGTCAGCATGACATCTGGTACGAGGGGTAAAATAAAATCTGAGCTTTCCTTCTGAGCTCCTTGTCTAGATCAGGTCGTCATTAGGGATGAAACGTATGTTCTAGAGTACTAAGAACTACTTCCCAGCTGATGGTTCTTCTAAGGTTGAATATTTTATTAGGTATATACTTCCTTTATTGATATCATGTTTTCGAGCTCATCCCTACAGCCGCACGCGATACTACTGCAGCGACACTTACTTTAATCGTCTACTTTTTGTCCATGTATCCTGACACTTGCTCGCGCCTCAGGGAGGAAATCCTAAGAAGAGTAGGTCCCAACCGCATGCCTACTTTTGAAGATATAAAAGAAATGAAATACTTGAGGGCAGTTATTAATGGTACGAGGTACAGATTGTAAAGTGGTGTAATCATCTCATCTGTTGTTCCAGAGACGCTGCGATTGTACCCTATTGTGTATGTGTCCACGTCCGTCTATTCCTCTGTTTGTTGACCGCCTATGTATAGTCCGTTCAATGTCAGGTAAGGCGAAAGCACGTTTTATACATTGACTGACTCTTACCATGCTGATCAGAGATTCAATCAACGCGACGACCTTTCCTTCAGATAATCCTTCCGAAAAGCCACTCTATATTCCTGCGCATACGACGTAGCACCTTTTCCTATAAATTCAGTTCGTTGTCTTATCATGACCATGTATCTTTAGAATACTTTACTCTGTCTTTCTCATGCATCGCCGAAAAGATCTCTGGGGCCCTGACGGTGAGCACTACCATTTATGAAAAGCTACACGCCTCGAGTACCAACTTCTCTCTAGCTGAAGAATTCGACCCCAACCGTTTCCTGGACCACCGGCTCAAAAAATACCTGACTCCTCACCCCTTCATTTTCCTTCCTTTCAACGCGGGACCGAGGATATGCTTGGGGCAGCAGTTTGCGTATAACGAAATCTCTTTTATGCTTGTCCGGCTCTTGCAGACCTTTTCTTCTTTTAAATTCTGCGGGGAGGCTCTGCCGAATGAGTGCCGTACTCCAGCAGATTGGACAAAGTGCAATGGGAGAAAGGCAGTTGATAAATTCTGGCCAAGAAGTACGTTGACCCTGTATAGCGCGGTGAGTGAGTAATATTGTCTCATTGTGTTTTTAAACTGACATTTGACTCAGGGTGGTTTGTGGATTAAGGCCACCGAAGCCGATAGGGCTTGAATGTAAATTGCATCCAAAAAATTGATACCCATGCTCCGATATTGTGAATCTAGCACTTCTCTGACTAAGACTCCTAACCCTTTTAATAGCACATGATAGCTTCAAAAAAAGAGGTGCTATCATCTAGAAATACTGAGTCTCACGAAGGGCTTGTGTCATCTGAGAAGGTGGAACCGAAGGCATATGTTATCAAATCGATGGGAGTAAATTGGAGTACCGACTCCAGGACGTGAGAGCTGCGCCATCTTCCGAATAAGTTTGGGCCACGAACAAAAATATTTATTTTTTTTGAGTATTTTACGGTCCCAATTGTCTCAGGAGTCGTCATTAGTGGTTTCAGTTTGTGAGCACAAGCTCCACACTTCGAAGCTCAGGGTGAGAATCAGAAATTTATCATGTACTCAGATTTCTGAACCGTGTCTCGTAACAATGGACGATATGAGTCAGTGACGGGTGAAACTCATGTCTCATCAGCTTATTTGTACTTTTGATTTCCCGGAGAGTGCGCGGCTTGTCGAAGACTTCGACCTTTACAGCACAACCCTCGATAATTCCTTGTCCGTTTACCATCACCATCTCTATTAGCCATCGCTACAATAATGGCGAAGCTTATGCATACGGCGAGTCTTATATTTCATTACATTATAGCTTTGTTTAGACGCTAAGACGCTGTTCAGGGCACTCTCCACTTGCAGAGCACCTACTGGGAGGCGACTCAGACGGACGAATTTCATTCTGGCTCGGAACCAGTGACCACGCCAGTGGACGAAGATCGCCAGCCTTCAGGCTTTTCTGGGCTTCACGAGCAGCCCATCGCCCACTCCGATTTTGACCCTGACTCCTCGCCAGAAAAGCCTAAGTCAGCCAAGTACCTGAGATTCAATGGCGTTGAGTTACCCACCAAGACTCGCCCGCTGAAGAGAGTGGTGGCAAAGGCAAAGAGGTTTGCGAGATGCTTCAAGTTGGTTCAAAGCTCGAGGGTGGGCGTTTCGATGATGCTTGCGGATTCAGTAGTGAAGGGTGGCAAGATCAACTTGAAGGGCCAGCATTTTTCACCCACCCTGGACAGCACAGATATTGAAGAACAGATGACGCATGACAACGCCGATCTTCTGGATAGCGACCCCTTCGCTGCTATCGTTACTCCCAAGGAAACGATCGCAGAGCAGACCAGGGAAACGACCGCAGAGCAGACCAGGGAAACAACCGCAGAGCAGACCAGGGAAACGACCACAGAGCAGGCCAGGGAAACGACCTCAGAGCAGGCCAGGGAAACGACCTCAGAGCAAGCCACGTTCAACTCCGTGAGTGCAGTCGAAAATCTTGACACAGAACCCAACGTAAATGTTCGTGACATATTGTTTTTCGTTATGTAAACTCACATCACAATCGTTTAGACACCTTCTGAAGATTCCACTTCTGTCTGTGTTGACTCGTCCGAACATCCATCCGAGTCTGACGGTGCTCTCGGAGAGGCACCTAGATCCCTGGACTTTGTCTCAGAAGATGTTTCTCCCGCTTTTCCGAAAGTCCTTCTATTCTTTCCCTGGTGTATTCTTTTCTGTGCAACCATATTTCTCTCTGCCAGGCATCCTGAAGGAATGCACTGCTTTGCCTATTGGACCGACTTGGCTGTTCTCCATGTTATGGTTCTCTTCGCTTTCATTGTAGGGTATGTTGCTGGGGAGGAAGCCAATGTTTCTGCGAACAATCATTCTCCGAATGATTTATTTTGAATGACAAAGAATGTTGGCCTTACTTAATACTTCATCTGTATCTGTTGAACGAGACACGTACTACCCGACTCTTTTCCTCCTTTATTATCTATATTGTACACCATTCCTTACGGACTCTTTCTTTTGTCTGAGCTCCTATACTTCATCCTGACATTATATATGCCTAGTAGCTACACCCCCCCATCCTCAGTCATTTCACCTATACTGCACTGACTGAGGTATGTTACTTAACTCATATACCTATATGCACTTTACTTATCCCGATAGTTCTTACAATGTCATTCTTATTACTTTACTATCTTCTTCAATTCGGACTCACTAAGACTTAATATTTTCACGTCTTGATCTGATTCTAGAATGAATTTCCACTTTTCTCGCCCCCAGTTTTTCACGGACGTCTTGATACAGTTTGTATATCTACTTGAGCCGCATTCCGGCGTTGCACAGAAACCCAGAACACGACTGATGACAAGGATACTGTACTCTTTCTTTTCAATTATATTTTGGTGAGGTGGTACGCGGTGTACATTTCACGATATTGTACAGTTCTGTATAAATTTGTCATATGGTTGTAGCAACTGGGGCCTTCGGCACCCTAGAAATTCACCGACTCTCACCCTGAAATTTCGCAGAAAACAGCTTTTACCATTGCCAACAAGAATACGTCTCGTCCGGGTTTAGAGAGTACGCGAGGAATATTGCATATTTACTACTTATTCAATGGACTTTGCAAACCTTTTCAAGTGTAACATACCTTAGACATATACAATTATGAGTAGGCATTCTTATAGATGACGGGGACCTGATGCAAGTTGACATTCAACCTACCGGAGTAAACACATTCTATGAGCAGCCAAACCATGGGCAAATTGTTCTTCTACCAAGCCTACCTGAAAAAAAAACTTGCATCATGCAGGCGAGAGAAATGTATATCCATTCTGGAATTAGACCAAGACATCAAAATATAAATCCGAACTGGCATTTCGAGAATGAGGACATGCAGGTAAAGTGCTAGGAGAAGGCGAAGAATTAACACCTAGTGACATCCAAAATCAATCATTCTGTATCCGAATCATCGTCCACGGCAGTACTGACTTCTTCGCATCCAGAAAAGTACCCTTTTGGCAATTGCGTCATCGAGAATGGCTTGGAGCAGCCAAAATTTACCGCAATAAAATACAGAAACTGCCTATTGTCGTTGCCCATAGGGATTTTGCTGTCAAAACGGAAGTCGTGCCACGCCACGATACTTTTTTCGATGGTAAGAGCGACAAGAGTGACTCCGAGTGGTAAGTGCTACGCGCCGATACATATGATGAAACCGAAGATCATAACATGAAGAATAGCGACGTTGGCCCAATGTGCAAAGCGGTGGATTCCTTGAGGTGACGCAATATATCCCAGAAAGAATGCAGTATATTCCAGGTGCTTAGGAGAGCAAACTGGTTCCACCAACAGGACCACACCAAAGAAGGAAGAGAAGAATTTTCAAAAGAGCCGGAGGAACTGAATTTGGGGGAAAATCCGGGAATCTAGGTGCGAGAGCTTCATCAAAGAGATATTCAATTGAGTCAACGAAGACGGCGTTGGCTTCTTCAGTGGGCGTCTGGATGATGTTATTGGAGTGTACATAACGAAAAGAGTATGTCACGAACATTTTCGATAGTCTTTATGTCAAGATTTTGGACCGCAGTCATGGAGATGGACCTGGGATGCAGGCTAGGTTTGACGTCATGTATATCTGCAGGCGCTTGAGCAACGACAGCGAGAGGGTGCTGCTCTTCAATATTGATCTCCATGCTGTCCGTTGGAAGAATAAGGGTAGGTAATGCGCTTTGGATCTTAAAGGCATCGGTCTTGCTATCCGTGAGAACAGAATTGGCAAGCATTAGCAAAACGCTCACCTTCGAGCCATGAACCAAGCCTCTCGCAAACCTTTTTGCCTTTGTCGCCACCTTCGAAAGCAAACGAGTCTTGACGCGCACCTCAACAGTATCGAATTCTGGTACCTATCCGGCCTAAGGGTTGCTTGCAAGTCGAGGTCGAACTCGGCGATGAGCAAAGCGCTGAAGATGTTCGTTCACCAGCGTCGTCAGTTCTGAGCCAAAACACGATTCATCCTCACCTCCGAGTCGGTGCGCTGCATGCAATGACTGTCCTGAACAACGTGTTAACATCTGGAACGTTTCTGGGATGATATAAAGAGTCGCCATAGGCATACCTGTCATCATCATCGTGACGAAGGAGGAAAAACTCAAAGCAAAAAAAGAACAAGCTGATGGTGATGGTAAAAGGTCAAGAAACGCCGGTACGGCAATTACAAAGTCTGTTTTGTTTTGGTTTGTTCGCGATCATGTGCCATGACGGTGCGACAACTCAACGACCCCAACACTGGTGACAAGGTGTCATTCTAAAAAAGCCTAGAATGCAGTATCAGCTTTAAAGAAGAAAAACTGTCCGAAAGGTCGGTAGACGTCTCTGCATTTCTCCAATGGCATTCCCTCTTTATTTCCTTCCTTACACCTTCCTTCTTTAGCTCCTACGAAGTGTTGGTATTCCGATTTATTCTCTGTTTCATCCCTGATGTCGACCAAATCTGGATAAGAGGCTTCGAAGGAATGGTCAAATTTTATTTTACCCCTCGTACCAGTTGTCATGCTGACGAGATAATCTGGTAATGTCTCCTCGTCGCCAATTTCATTGAAGTCCTCGAGACCGGAAGCTTTCTTTTTTTGGAGTGTGGCCTAGATGGTAAGTTCGACAAAGTCATAAACGACCTTCATGGGAGCTTCAGTTTTATCGATTGCAATCCTAAAGAGCGACCCCGTCCGCCCTTGACGCTCTCGAATCAACATAATGTGCTGTGCTCTGAGAAACGCCTCGGACGCGTGGATATGTGCGGCATGCCCCGAGGATTAGCCGCGGGCCGCGTGACACGGTTGACCTCCTAATATCGGTGGCCGTTGGGACTTCGGAAGTTTTAAAAGCTTGAATGTGACATTGACGTTGCCGTTGGCCGCCTCCTGCACCCTATTTCCCTAGCTCTGGCAGTTTCCACCGATACTGGAGTACCAGCAGGGTATTTTGTCGTCTTCGTAAGTCGGGGGTCTAAAGCTGACAGTAGTTCTTCCTTCACTTTGTTACCTTTCGATTTTGTCAGCTAAACAAATTTCAAAAGCGACCCAGCCCTTACTTCATGGCTCACGGGAATGATAAACTGCTACGCGTCTTTGTAAGGTAAATTGAGCCTCACACATATTACTTTCAGTACAGATACTACACTTACAAATACTAAATATACAATATCGGAACACACGCATCAAATTTTCAAACCTGAGCCAAATTCAAGCTATCAGTTTCAGTCGCCTTAATCCACATACCACCCTAAGCGACGGAGCTGTTAGTTGAAGGTATAGAATAAGAAGAAAAAGGTTCCCGCTCACCGCGCTATACAACGTCAATGTATATCTCGGCCAAAATTTGTCAACTGCCTTCCTTCCCTTACATTTGGCCCAATCCGCCGGAGGACGGAACTCGTTCAGTAAAGCATCCTGATCGAATTCGAACGACGTGAAGTTCTGCAAGAGTCGCACAGCCATGAAAGAAATTTCGTTATACGCAAACTGCTGCCCCAAGCAGATCCTTGGGCCCGCGTTGAACGGAAGAAAAATGAAGGGGTTAGGTATTAGATACTGCTTCAGTCGGTGGTCCAGGAAACGATCAGGATCAAATTCCTCGGCTGAAAGTAGGTCAACGTCCGCCTTCTGGTCTATAGGTATCGGTAACGCTTACCATCAGGACCCCAAAGATCTTTTCGACGATGCATGATGAAAACTGAATACGAGACTCTGAAAATGAACTTAATGAACCGAGGCGTAGCATGAAGGGAGATAATACTTCGTGTTTGCCGGGATATACAATGGCTTCTCCGAAGGATCCTCGGAAGGGAAGGTTGTGGCGCTTATAGATTCTCTGACGAGCATCATGAGCCTTGAAAGAACTGGGAGATATCACCATCCTACCTGACATTGAAAGGACTATACTCTGGGCGTCAGAAGAATCTGAGCATGAAAACTGTGGATACGTACACGGCGGGATACAGTCTCAGCGTTTCTAAGACAATCACTTGAATACATGGCTCGGCGTCATCGATTTCAAGGCATACCATTGATCACCGCTCCCAGATACTTCATTTCCTTGATGTCCTCGAAAGTGGGTGCACGGGTGGTGCCGACTCTGGTGAGAATCTCTTCTCTGAGACGGGTGCAAACATCTGGATACATGGACAAGAAATAGACGAGGAAAGTGAGTGTCGCCGCGGTAGTGTCGCGTCCAGCTGGCAGATATGAGTTTTACATCGTTAAATGAAGATAGACATTTACCAATTAAGATATTAAGACTCCAAAGATACATCAGTCGAACGCCGAAAGCAGAAAACCGTACGACTTACGTTTCATCTCTGATGACAGCAGGGTCTGTGAAGGTAGGATCAAAATTAAGCACATTTATCGGGAATAATTAGGCGCCATACCAGATGTGATGCTGACGAGATGGTCCAGCAACGTTTCATCGTCGCCAACGGCAGCGGGCTCTGGTTTCTCATTCACAGAATCGGACGATTCCTTCCTCTTCAATGCCGCCTGGATGATGGGCTCGACAAAGCCTCGCACGACCTTCATTGGAGCCTCAGTCTTATCCTTCCTGATCTCAAACAACGGCCAGATCCATCCCTTGCGCAAGCGACTAGATAATATCTCCTGGGCCTCAAAAAATGCCTCGGAAAACTCATTGGCTTCAAGAGAGCGAGCATCGTTGGCTTCTGCTGGGACAATAGATATACTTTGAGGGTAAGGTAGCGCGGCCGTAAGAGTGTTGACGCAAGAGCCGAAGAGAAACTCGGTGGCAGAGTCCAGAGTAAAGCGGTATGTCAGATCCTACGAGAACAGGTCAGGACGATCCTTTCATCCGATAATTCGTTAACGAACCTGAAAATCAACAGGATAGCCGCTCCGAAGCCTTTGTTTCATCTGACTGATTGCTGTCTCTGCGTGTCGGTCGTATAAATCGAAATGGATGATCCTGTCCCGGGTGAAAAAAGGTCTGGTCATGGATCGATGGAATCTAAGATGATCAAGTTAGAATCGATATACAACTTCAGAAGGTGACGCTACTATAGCATACCTCCACATGGGACCTGAAGGTCTATGAATTAGCAGGGAGGTCTATGAACTTGGGCAGGCTCGTACCATCGGCATTGAATACTCCCAAACCTAATACAGATTTCATGCTATTTTGGAATCTTTCACCTACATGGCCTTCCATATCAATGGTAGGCAGGATGCAGAATAGGTCTACCTTTCTCAAAATTCTGGAACTCAGTGGCAAGGACAATCTGAATTTGCTTCGGCGACGTTGTAAAGATCATGTCAGACCATAGAAGGGGCAGGTTAAAGTAAGGCCCATGCGTGTCTGTCATTTCTCCTAGACCATCACCTGTACGACATCGCAATGAAAAAGCTGTTCCGTGGTACCAAGATACAATGTCTTACTGGGGTAGCCGTTTGCCCAGGGACCGACCATTGCCGCAAAGATATCAGCATTTCCAGGCCATCTGCCTTTAACTCGCTTCATGATACGGGCACCAATAGCTTTTGCTGAATTTTTATGAAGGCGGTCCATATAGACAACGCGCAAGGCCAAGAACACGAGGGAAGTCGCAAGGGCCGTCAGAAATACTACGGAAGGGGAAGCGTCCCAGTTCTTTGGGTTCAAGAGAAGGCCCCATCGTTGCAAAAATGTGGCGAAACCAGCCATCAAAGCAACGGGAAGGAATGCAGCTGCGAGAAAACGAATTCCTGGAGTGAGAATCATGATGAGAGTGGGAAGAAACGAGAAATCCAAAATGACATAGTATGATGCTGATTCCGGCCGGGTAGGTGAAACAAAGTCACAAGAGCAAGCAAGCAGGAATTATAAAGCTGGTGATCCTCAAGAAACAATGACAGTGAATTAGACTGGTTATCAGGGGATAGTTATATTTCTGTATTAGTGCCATTTATGCAAGATGAGCAGCGCCGTGCGAGTTGCAAGTGAGGACAAGGAACAACAGCCGCTCTCGGCAATTTGCGAGACATGAAATATGTACCGGACCGATTGTTCCAAGTTCAGTTCTTTGTCATTAGACTGAGAAGGCAGCCTGGTTCCAGGTGCTCTCTACTCTCTCCACAACTGATATTACTAGCACCTGATGGATGAGAAGAGAGAAGTGATCAATGTACTCTGTGGCTGGGAAAGGACCAAGAGGGAAAAGTAAAGATAAGTATTGCATATTCTTGAAAAAGTGGCTTATAATATAGATTGAAAGCATTTAAGAAGATTGGTTGATTGGCATCCAGTCATTCTCTTAGGAGCAAACTATGCATATGAAACTGGAATGGACACTCTAGCCATTCATCCTAAGGGTGCCAGATAGTTTGTCAGCAGGCTGAAACTTAGAAATTAAATGGACTTCTTTTATAGTATTCATATTAAGTGTCTTCACAGAAAGGTTATGATTGAGATGTGATAACATGTCTGAATATTCACACTAATTCATCCCCACTGAGTTGATAGCTTAACAAAGTGTCCCATATGTGCCAAAATAGATATGTCACCCAGAGCAGGATTTATTGATATACTGTGATCTGCTAACACATAGATGTAGAATAGTACTGACATATGAGACTATCCAAGAACCAGAATGGGCACTCATCAGTTAGTTCAGATGGTAGAAATCCATTAATAAATAAGAGCATGCAGGTCACAACATCCATATGATTTTGTAGCTGAAATACATAGAACTCTTTGTTGAAACTTCTTTGCTGTAATTGTGAAACTGGGAATGTGGATGGAGGGATCATGTCTTCTCATTAATGGGATATCTGATATGCTGGAGGAAGCAATTCACCATTTATAGTTTCCACTATCTCAACCATTGACATTGTTGAATATTCCTGCACAAGAATCCCTTCATTCTCTCCTGGCCACAAGAACATCCAGGAGGTGAAACCATTCTTGCCTGAGGCAAGCCTTCTCCTGAAGGCAGAGGAAAATTATTGCATCTCCTACTTGGTGCAAAAGGATACAGATAGGCTACAAAGATGGGAGTATCAAGGGGTCTAGATCTGGAATCCACTGTTGAACTTTCAACTTTAGGTATTTTGCTGTCTCTAAACCTGCTTTGATGCTGTCACCAGAGGATTACTAATAAAACTGATATTATCATCAAGGTCAATGATCCTATGATGCTTCCAATAATGACTAGTGCATTTGTATGGTGAGGACTTGATGATGCAGTTGTGGAAGTCACTTTTCTATGAGGAAGGTAGTCAACATAACTACTCATAGAATGGAGTTGAATTAAACCTACACAGAAGTAGGGATAGCAGATTTGCCACCTACTATACTTACTATAGCATTTTCACTAATGACAGATCCACCAATATCACTGTTTATAGTCTCACCACTAGTTGCATTTTCATCATTCCCAGCTATGACTTCTCCACTAATCACAGAACCACCAACACCACCAGTTATTATAGCATTTCTGCTAGTGGCAGTTCTGCCATTGCCACTGTTCTCCAGCATCTCCACTAGTCATACTCCTGCCAGATTGACTCTTTATGACAACATCTCCATTGTCTGCATGTTTCTAGACCTCCTTACCCTCATCCTCACCTAAGTCTCTATCATTGATATTCCTGAATACTTCAAACATTGCACTCTGAGCTTGTATTTTGGTGGTCTTAGTGCCATCCTTGATGATATGAGCATCAGGCAATATCACATGAAGAGCAAATAACATGCTGCATGATGCATCTATATCCTTTAGGCTACAAACATTGTCATTACTCAGTTATTCATGGGAATTGTTTTCTGTACACTGCAACACCAGATAAAATAAAAAGAAGATGAGTCAGCAAGTTCTCTCCAAAGTTCCATTCACATCTTCTGCCAGAGGTGACATGTGGTTCAAACAAACAAGATAGAAGCATTCAGGATCTTGTGGTCCTTAAGCTATAATCCCTTGGCTTTCTTGAGCACTTGAGATCATGATAGAGAGACTGGAAACTTGACATATTAATGTGATTAAAAACCTAGCAAATATAGATTGAGTGTCATATGAGATGAGGTTACAAAATGTACCCATAGAAGAGAATGAAATCCATAACAGCCAGCTGGTCAAGATGAGTGAACTACTGCTGAATGAGTCTCTTATTTATAAATATCATTGTATAACTGTCAAAATACATGTCAATAGTAACTAGAATTACCATGATGGACATTCAGCATAGACATCTAGAGCTCCATATGAACACAGCTTCTGTTGCCTTGTAGCATCTTCCACCAGAAAGATCAGACTGATATGTGGTTAATGAAACTAAGTGATCTTTGTATGTCTCTAATTTTTGTTGGAGATGATTCAAGTGACTAGGAGTGAAGTGCTATTGTAAAGTAATAGCTAAATATTGTGTCTGATGGATGCTTCTACTGCAGATGCAAATGACTCATCACCATGTCCATCTGAACATGTTCAATCTAAGTTCAATAAAGTGTAGTCATCAAATAGCTGATAGGTCATTGAGTATTAAGTTAATATAACATTTGAATACAATCTAGGTGACTCTTAAGGCAAGCCAGATCAGTTTATCTATAGGCCAATATAAAGATTAATTTCAGATTTTGAAGATTGAGAGATTTTTGAAACCTTCTAATAAGCTGATACTGTCACTGGCATTATGGAAAAGTGGCAAAAATAGTTTTTTCAGACTAACAAAGCAGAGTAAGAAGACAATGCTACATTCTGGTTTGATTCTCATCACTATAAGATATTCATCAGTAGGGAAGAGTGAAAGCAATGCCATATTGATGCATATTTGTTTCTCCTTCACATTTTCAGTTCCAACTGAATGAATCAGGTGATCATAACATGAAATGGCTCCTTATATGAAAAAGCCTGCCTTAAAGTGGCAAAATTAGTGCTTGCAACAGGTGCACTATCTTTTACTGACAACAATGCACTATGATCATTCTGTTACCTGCTGAATCTGAGTCTGAATTGCTTGTGATAAATAATGCTGCTATCTCTCTCTCCAATTTCTATGGAGAATCTAGTGTTCAATATTCTTCATAGCTGAAAATATCCAGCATAGCAAAATTGCCACTGAAGTGCTTAGCATTGACAACTGTAGAGACAGATACCTTAGTGAAAATTCTGAAGAAGCATAAATTGGATGAGAAGAAAGCTGTGCATGGCTTGTATATTCACAATATTATTCATTGCTGATAGAAGACTTAAAGAATACTATTTTGGTTTATGTGAAAAAGGAGGCTTAAGATGTTGCAATGGTTAACTGGCTTCAGGCTCACTGTGACTGTTTTGAGCCTCTACTGCCATTCCTTATCACATTCAAATATTTACTGTCTCTTGGAATGTCAGATGCTCTAGTAGCATTTTATTCATTTTAAGTGCAACCTAAGAATATAAAAGAAGGTGAGATGAAAGATTACTAAGTGAGTGCTGTTATATCTTTTTTCTTTAAAGTTCTTGTTGAACTATACCACTGCTTTATGGCCAGTTGTTTCTTATATGGATATACAAAAATAGTGTATTTATAGTCTTGAGTCTTGATCTTTCTTATCCTGATATCCAGAGATGAATTGTATCTTAAGAGATGAGTACATGTGATTTTCCTCTGCATAGAGTATATTAGACCCACTCAGTATGTGATTCTAAGTATGTGGTAAACCAATGCTGTATTGAGTTCATACAGTCATGCTGAAGTCCACTTTTGTATGCTTTCAGCATGCATCAAGGCTTCAATAGGTTAAGCTCAAGAGAGAAAGAGTGGTATGAATAAACTTTAGCTCAAAGCTGAGGTGCAACAGTAAGAGCTACACTACTTATATACATTTAGACCTGTGATAAATATAATTCTTACTAATTGTGTGTTTCTATCCAATAGTGCCAGAATGCTTGGTTGTCAAGTGTAGGACAATAAGGTATTATTCATTGTTGAGGCATCTATCACATGCTGAAGGATAATAGCATGGCCTGCCTTTTGTGGTTAAGTAATCATTTCATGATCATCAACAAGTGTCTGAAATAAGATAGATGCTTTGATAAGATAAAATCAAGATAAGATAAGAAAAAAATGTTAAGATAGACAGAAAGATTATAATATTACCTCCTATTAAGACCATCATCTCAATGGCTCAATTAAAAGAGAGTTTATAGTCATAAATAGCTGTGTCAGCATTTATATTGTGTTCACTGATCCACTGATTAGATTCTGGTCTATAACCCTTTCATTTGATGAGATATTTGATAGTGATATTGAGATTAAGACTCTGATGGCCATATGTTTTTTGGATGCAATGGTTGAGGATTTGTTTAATTTTATAATGTTTCTCATCTTCAATCAGGATGAGCTCTAGTGGAGAGAGAACTTCTTGATTGAGAAAGGCAGATAGCATATATGGGGAGAGAAGAGATTTGTTAAATACTGGATGAACCTTCCAACTGAGCAGCAGTGTGAGTTGGTAGATAGAAGTGCTGATCTTCTTTGTGATAGAAAAAGAACCAGTGCACTTATTGGCCAGCTTTTTTTTCAGATGTGAGAGATGGAGATTAGTCATGTCTAGTCAGACATAAT